TTGAGGCCCCGTGGAAGTACAACAACTCTAATAATTCCACAGAACGGAGCCTTGGCAGCTCAACTGGTGCCAAACGGCATTCCTTCTGGATGCAGCCCAGGGCTCTATGGGCTCTTGCTCCAGAGATAGAGGATGGAGCGCCTTGCCACCTCCAGCCAGGAAAGAAAAAGTGCCTCCAGGTCTCCCTCTCGCCCCCTCCCTTTTCTCCCGGCCTCCCTCTTTTTTCTCCCGGGATTTGATCCGGAGTAACGTGAGAAATTGTTTGGAGGAAGCGGCGCTTCAAGGGGGCTCCTCATTAAAAGCAAGGAAGACAAGCCCGGCCTCGGCCGGGTGGGTTTGCAATTCACGTGTTTGGCTTTGATATTAATAATGATAATCTTTCCCTAAAGTCCACAAGCCAAAGCAAACAAGCTCCCCGAAGCACACAATTCGGGAGTTTTAATGACTGATGGGAGAGATAAGCACAAGCAGGTTGGGGTCTGGATCTCAGGAAGAGTTTTCTTTCTCGGGAAAGCAGACTACAAAGCAAGCCGCTGATTCAAGGGGAATTCAAGTTAGGTCGCCTGCGGATTAGATTGGCTCAGGAAATGACTCCTGCAGGGCGAGCTTTTGGACACTTTTGGAAAATGGCATTCATAACCTTTTGGGAAATGCCTTTTAGAGGAGAGCCAAAAACCCTTTAGGGTAGAACCTTCTCTTGTGATATATACAGTCAGATATAATGATGCAAGGCAATGGTTTCAGTTTAATAACCTGTTATCTCTGATCTGTTAGGAAAACAGAGATTTGCCAGTGCATAAAAACAGCAGAGCGTTAAAAGTGTTTTTCAGTTATATACACACACACACACACACACATGCCACGTGTTGCTGTGGCCCAGTCTGGTGATCTGAAAAATAAAGTAATGTGAAAGTGTTGGTTTCTGATTTATGTAATTTCTTTCTGCTTGTGGATAAGCAGTATTTCTTGCTGTTTCTTTGTCAGTGTTGATGTAGAGATGGTCTGGTTTGCCTACTCTGGAACAGGTAACATATCATTGTCCTTCTTTAGGGGTCCCTTTCAAATCTATGAGACTATATCTGTGTGTGTTATATCATACATATCTATCTATATCTATGGCTGGATGGCTCTTTGTCAGGAGGGTTTTGATTACGTTTTCTTGCCCTGGTGAAGGGAATTGGACTGGATGACCTTAAGTATTTTCTGTTGTTCATGGAGAGTTCTGTGTGGGAAGTTTGCCCCAATTCTGTCGTTGGTGGGGTTCAGAATGCTCTTTGATTGTAGGTGAACTATAAATCCCAGCAACTACAACGCCCAAATGTCAAGGTCTATCCCCCCCCCCCAAACTCCATTTGTGTGCATATTTGGGCTTATGGAATATTTGTGCCAAGTTTGGTCCAGATCCATCATTGTTTGAGTCCAAAGTGCTCTCTGGATGTTGGTGAACTATAACTCCCAAACTCAAGGTAAATGCCCACAAAACCCTTCTAGTGTTTTCTGTTGATCATAGGAGTTCTGTGTCCCAATATTGGTTCAATTCCATCATTGGTGGAGTTCGGAAAGCTCTTTGATTGTGGGTGTACTATAAATCCCAGCAACTACAACTCCCAAATTACAAAATCTTATTTTTTTGAGTGAAGGACATACATTGAGTTGTTAGGTGTATTGTGTCCAAATTTGGTGTTTTTGAGTTATGTTAATCCCACAAACGAACATTACATTTTTATTTATATAGATATATCTTTCCCATAAAACTTCTTGTTTTATATCATGCACTCAAGAGACAAAAATGAAGTAGACTTTGATAAAAAAATAACATATTTGGTTTACTCACAACCTTCATGTGTTATACACAGGTACAAAACTTATCAGTCCAGTTTCAGATATGTTTGAGATAATTCTCTGTGCCAGCCTCCAGGGCATCGCTCTTATAACAAAGCAGCTATCGACAGGTCACATAATCAAAAGGAGAGAGAGAAAGTTCAAGAGAGAGAGAGAGAGAGAGAGAGAAACCCCCTGGGGGATGAGAAGGGCGGGGTATAAATATTTGAAATAAATAAATAAATAAATAAAAAGAGCAAAAGGAGAGAGAAAGAAGAGAGAGAGAGAGAGAGAGAGCAGCTCCTTTTGTAACTTCTCAGGAATCCTAGAGCAAAGGAAGCTGCATACCAGAACATACATATAAACAGTAAGCGACAGGAGCATAGATAAACGTTACTAGAGAAGGCTTGAAGCAGGTTGTCATTTCCAACAGACACCATTTTCCCTGCCATGGCTCATTACTACAGAACCCTGGGTGTTGTAGCTTTGGTGAGGTACCAACGCTCTTGGGCAGAGAAAGCTAAAGACCTTGTAAAACTACAATTCCCAGAATGCCAATGCATCAAAAGTGTGTCAAATTACACTCATTCTGCAGTGTAGATGCATCCTAGAATGCTGAATTGTACAAGTCTCTCCTCCTGAACCTCGCGCTTCTACACCAACCATGACAAAATTAGAGGAACCACGGCCAGTTTTCTATTTGGCAGGCCAAGCTGAGAAGACTATGGACCAAGCTGGCCGGCTTTCAGAGGAGGCTCGGCTTTTGATCCCAACGGGGAGCCCGGCCTAAGGCCAACCAATGGTTTCTGCAGCTGCGAGGATGGGGCTGGGGGGTTGTTGACATAGGTGGGCCTGGGGTCTCTCTGGGAAGAGGGAGATGGGGGCGCCTCGAGGACACCCTTTCCCCCCAAAGACCCATTCCGAGGCGGAGACTTGTTTAGCCGACAACAGATCTGCGAATGGTTGCACTTTGGGACTACAGCTCCCAGAATCCCCCAGCCACATAGTCCCTATATTGCTTTCCTACCTCCAGTCACCTTCGCCAGACTTTCCCCAACTCAGCACCTTCTGAGGTGTTGGACAATAGAGCATCAACATTAGACATGAACAAACTTGGGCCCTCCATGTGTTTTGAACTTCAACTCCCACCATTCCTAACAGCCTCAGGCCCTTTTCTTTTCCACGGATCTATAAACCCCACTTGCCTAGTTTCCAACAGACCTCACAACTTCTGAGGATGACTGCCATAGATGTGGGCGAAACGTCAGGAGAGAATGCTTCTGGAGCATAGCCAAACAGCCTGGAAAACTCACAGCAACTCAAGGTTTTGAATTGCTTCTGAAATAAACAAGGGGGAGAAAGGTGCCAGTGGTTGGTTGATCTTTTCTGCATGCATTTCTCAGGGTGGGAGAAAGAAATCTTGTCTGCTTGACACAACTGTGGCCACCTTGATTAGCATTGAATCGCCTTGGAGCTTCAAAGTCTGGTTGGTTGTTGTCTTGGAGAATCCTTTGTTGGGAGATATTAGCTGGCCCTGATTGTTTCATGTCAGGAATTTCCCTGTTTTTTGTGTTGCTCTTTATTTATTGTCCTGATTTTAGAGTTTTTTTAAATACTGGTGAGTAGCCAGATTTTGTTCATTTCCATGGTTTCCTCCTTTCTGTTGAAATTGTCCACATGCTTGTGGGTATCAAAGGCTTCTGTGTAGTCTGACAGGGTGGTTGTGAGAGCGGTCTAGCGTTCCTGTGTTCTCAAATAATATGCTGTGTACAGGTTGGTTCATCAGGTGCTCTGCTATGGCTGACTTCTCTGGCTGAATGAAGGTAAAGGTAAAGGTTTTCCCTTGACATTAAGTCTAATGGTGTCCAAAGAGCCGGCGTTGTCCATAGACACCTCCAAGGACATGTGGCCAGCATGATTGTATGGAGCACCGTTACCTTTCTACTGGAGCATTACTTATTGATCTACTCACATTTGTATGTTTTCGAACTGTGAGGATGGCAGAAGCTAGGGCTAACAGCAGAAGCTCACCTCTGACACCTGTCAGCAAGTTCAGCAGCTCAGTGGTTTAACGCGCTGTGCCACTGGAGGCTCCAGTTCTGGTTGAATTAGAGGTAAATTGATAACCTTCATTCCTACCAATTCAGTTAAAACAAATCACACATTGGTCAGGATTAATAAATTTCCTCTCAGTAGGAACTTCCATCCATTTATGCTAAAGGTTTTGAAGGGTGAGTGTTTATAATCGCCTATGAACCAAAGGATTCTCAATACTTAGGGCAGGGTTTATCAATCTGGCTGTCAGGACGGGGGGGGGGGGGTCACGAGGGGTGTGTCAGAGGGGTCACCAAAGATCTTCAGAAAACGCAGTATTTTCTGTTGGTCATGGGGCTTCTGTGTGGGAAGTTTGGCCCAATTCTGTCGTTGGTGGGGTTCAGGATGCTCTTGGATTGCAGGTGAACAATAAATCCCAGAAACGACAACTCCCAAATTTCAAGGTCTATTTTCCCCAAACTCCAGAGTGTTCACATTTTGTAATCGTGCCAAGTTTGGTCCAGATCCATCATTGTTTGGGCCCACAGTGCTCTCTGGATGTAGATGAACTACAACCCCAAAATTCAAGGTCAATGCTTACCAAACCCAGTATTTTCTATTGGTCATAGGAGTTCTGTGTGACAAGTTTGGTTCAATTCCATCGCTGGAGGAGTTGAGAATGCTCTTTGATTGTAGGTGAACTATAAATCCCAGTAACTACAACTCCCAAATGACAAAATCAATCCTGCCTTCAATCCCATCAGTATTCAAATTTGGGTGCCAAATTTGGTCGAGTGAATGAAAATACATCCTTCATATAAGATATGTACATTATGATTCATAACAGCAGCAAAATTACAGTTATGAAGTAGCAATGAAAATAATTTTATGTTTGGGAGTCACCACAACATGAGGAAGTGTATTTGTGGCATTAGGAAGGTTGAGAAACACTGAAAAAGAGGAAAGGAAAACATAATCCACCTGCTTTCTTTTTCTAGAGCCAGGGAAATAGTTTTTGTCAACTAAAATTCATGGCAACTGGACACTTAAAATGGCCAAACTTAATTTTTACAGGTCCCAAAGTTTTTATTATTATTATTTGTTGAATCTCCTTGACAGGTGGACAAAAATCCACAACAACTTCGTACACAAAAGTGATTTATTTTCCAACCTTGGGAATATCGTCCAGTTTTCCTTCTTATAGTCACGAAGTCAAATTCCACGTTTTAAATATCTATATATAAATTTATATCTCTATATCTTTTTGTTTTACAAAACACACACAAAAAAGAGAGGACGCCTTTAAATTATTTACAAAAAAACCCAACAAAAATCCACACACAAACTTTGGAAATCCTTTTTTGTTAAAAACAACAACAATAATAAAAAAAATTCCAACCCACAAGGAGGAGCTTCCTTCGACAGGAATGAACTTGGTTTGAGGCAAAGGATGCTCACTAAGCCACAAGATCAAAATATATTAATTTGCCAAGGAGAGGAGAGGAGGAAAGGCAACTTGAGGTTCCAATCCAAATGCCCGGGGGGGGGGGCAAGCGGGACCCCACCCTCCACTCAAAGGCGGGTTTCCCTTTTAAGAAGAGGCCTTTTTTTATTTGTTCAGCTGCGAGCGCCTGGCCACCCTTCTTGGGTTTCCAGAAGATTAAATTAATGCGCGATTTAGTGGAAAGGGCGAAGGGGATCGACAGTCCCTTGCGCCGTCCAGTTTCCAAAAATACGCCTGGCTTGCTGCCTACTTCTCCGCCACTTCCTCCCCGGTGGGGACTTTGTGATCTTCCGAGGAGATGCTGTCCACGATGGAGGAGAGGCAGCGGAGGCTGCTGGAGGCCGAGGAGTCCAGGAGGGAAAGCCCTGGGAAGAGGGAGAAAAAGAGGAAAGGCGGGTTGAAGAAGGTGGCTTCAAACTACAAGGAAGGAGATTCCATCTGAACATGAGGAAGAACTTCCTGACTGTGAGAGCTGTTCAGCACGGGAACTCACTGCCCTGGAGTGTGGTAGAGGCTCCTTCTTTGGCAGCTTTTAAACAGAGGCTGGATGGCTATCTGTCGGGGGTGCTTTGAATGCAATTTTCCTGCTTCTTGGCCCATGAGGTCTCTTCCAACTCTATGATTCTTTGATTCTAAGGTGTAGACCTGAGGCTGAGAGGAAGCAGCAGCCATCTTCCCACCTCAACCCAGCATAAAACAGTCAACACATTAAAGGGGGCACTGCCCCTCTGGAAGTACCCTACTCCCCATTGAGACATTTCCCAATTTTCCTAGCATCCCAGGAATTTCAAATTTCAACAACAGAGAGGAAAGAAACAAGGACATCTAATCACCTCTCCGCAAAAGATTGCTCCAGGCACTGCTAGGCAATCAAATGCTATTCAAGGTAGTCAGTTGAAACATTCACACCTAGCTCCAACAGACAAGAGTCCTTTGTCCCACCCTGGTCATTCCACAGATATATAAACCCCCTTTTTACTAGTTCCAACAGACCTCACTACCTCTGATGATGCTTGCCATAGATGCAGGCGAAACGTCAGGAGAAAATGCCTCTAGAACATAGCCATATAGCCCGAAAATACCTACAGCAACCCAGTGATTCCGGCCATGAAAGCCTTCTACAATACAATTTCAAATTAAATTAGGTGACCGTTCTAAATGACCATTGACATACCTCAAGAAAAGGCATAGGCAAAGTGAGGGAATGCCAAATACTTTGTTGTTGCTGTTGTGTGTCCAAGTAGTTTCCAATTTATGCTCACTCCATTCATAGGGGTTTTCTGAGGCTGAAAGTGTGGGACCTGCTCCAAATCACCCAGGGAATTTTCAGGCTGAAGATGGATCTACACCAGGGGTCCTCAAACTTTTTAAACAGAGGGCCAGGTCACAGTCCCTCAAACTGTTTAAAGGACTGAGTTACAATTTGAAAAAAAGTATGAATGAATTCCTATGCACACTGCACATATCTTATTTGTAGTGCAAAACAACACACTTAAAAACAATACAATAATTAAAATGAAGAACTATTTTTACAAATCTAAACTTATTAGCATTTCAGTGAGAAGTGTGGACCTGCTTCTGGCTGATGAGATAGAATTGCTGTTGTTGTGTGCTTTCAAGTAGTTTCAGACTTAGGTTGACCCTGAGCAAGGGTAAATGACCTTGCAGAGCCATATCCGGCCCCTGGGCCTTAGTTTGAAGACCCCTGATCTACTCTGTCAAATTATGCAATTTGAACTGCATTGTATCATAATAATAATCAAACTCTATTGGGTTGCTGTTAGTTTTCCGGGCTGTATGGCCATGTTCTAGAATCATAGAATCATAGAGTTGGAAGAGACCTCATGGGCGATCCAGTTTAACCCTCTGCCAAGAAGCAGGAAAATTGCATTCAAAGCACCCCGACAGATGGCCATCAAGCCTCTGTTTAAAAGCTTCCAAAAAAGGAGCCTTCACCATTCTCTCTTGACGTCTCACCCACATCTATGGCAGGCATCCTCAGAGGTTGTGAGGTCTGTTGGAAAATAGGCAAGTGAGGTTTATATATCTGTGGAAAGCCCAGGGTGAGAGAAAGAACTCTTGTCTGTTGGAGGCAAGCGTGAATGTTGAAATTGATCACCTTGATTAGCATTGAAAAGCCTTGCAGCTTCAAGGCCTGGCTGATTCATGGCAGGGGGAATCCTTTGTTGGGAGGTGTTAGTTGGCCCTGATTGTTTCTTGCTTGGAATCCCCCTGTTTTTTAAGTGTTGCTCTTTATTTACTGTCCTGATTTTGTTGTTGTTTATTCGGCATGGACCAACCCACGCCAGAGCTCTCTGTCGGCAGTCACCACCCCCAGCACCTTCAGAGTCAAGCCAGTCACTTCAAGCATACCATCCATACCATTCCCCCAGCATCACTGTCTTTTCTAAGCTTTCCTGTCTTCTCATGATGAGGCCAAAGTACTTCATCTTTGCCTCTAATATCCTTCCCTCCAGTGAGCAGTCGGGCTTTATTTTCTGAAGTATGGACTCTAAACGCTCTAAAATCAGTATTTCCCGATTTTAGAGTTTTTTAAATACTGGTAACCAGATTTTATTCGTCTTCATGATTTCCCCCTTTCTGTTGAAATCGTCCACATGCTTGTGGGTTTCAATGGCTTCTCTGTTTCCAATTTATGCTCGCCCAATCATGGGTTTTTCTCAGGCTGAGAGTGTGTGACCTGCTCCAAGTCACCCAGGTTTCTCAAGTCATTCCTGACGCAAAAACAAAACAAAACTGGGACTTTTCACGTCCGAATTTACATCTAAATGGTTGTATGACGCAGTGTGATCTGCATTATATGATAATACAATCCAGTCTCTTTTTAAGGAAAGTTCTTGGAAAAGAAGCGAGCCCTTGTTTTCCCTCGGGATTTTTCCAAGAATTCATTGACACTGTAGAATTAACGCGGTTTGACCCCACTTTCATTCACCGCCATGACTCAAGGCGTTGTCGTTTGACAAGGTCTTCTTCGGTCTTCTCTGTCAAAGGATGATGGTGCCTCGCCAAATGACAACGACAACAACAACGACACCTTCACCTGATGAGGGATGGGTGGGCGCTTGTTTTTTAGGGAGAGGGCTTTGGAGGTTGTGCTCCTGACTCCAAGGTAAACATCTTCCATGGTGTTGAACAGAATTTCTTCCACACTGTAGAACAGCATGGGTAAACTTTCTAACTTGGGGGCCCATATGCTAGCACTCCCTGTTAGGAGGACTGGCTTCCCAGTGATGGAAGGAAAGAGGGAAGGAGGAAAGAAAGAGAGAGAGAAGGAAGGCCAAAAGGGAGGAAGGAAAGGATGGCAAGAGAAAGAGGGAACGAGGGAAGGAAGAAAAGATGAAAGGGTGGAAGGGAAGGAGGAAGGAAAAGGGGAAGGAAAAAAGGGAGGAAGAGAAGGGAAGGAGAAAGGAAAGAGAGAACGAAAGACAGACAAAAGGGAAGGAAGGAGCCGAAAGAGGGAGCAAAAAGGGGAGGAAGGTTGAAAGGGTGGAAGGGAAGGATGGAAGGAGATAGAGGGAGAGAAGAAAGGAGGGAAGGAAAGACAAAGGGAAGAAAGGAAAGATGAAAGGGTGGAAGGGAAGGAAGGGAAGGAGGAAGGAAAAGGGGAAAGAAGAAAGGGAAGGAAGGATAAAGGAAAGAGAGAATGAAAGAAAAAGGGAAGGGAGGAGGCAAGAGAGAGAGCAGAAAGGGGAGGAAGGATGAAAGGGTGGAACGGAAGTAAGGATTTGCGTTTATACTGTGTTTACTGTATTGATGGGCGTGGCCTCATGTAAGCCGTCCCCAGTATAAATAAAGTTATTATTATTATTATTATTATTATAAGGAGAAAGTGAGGGAAGGAAAGGAAGTAAGGAGGAAGAAAAGAAAAGAAAAGAAAAGACAAAGGGGAAGAAAGGAAAGTGAAAGAGGGAGAGAGGGAGGGAAAAGGGGAGGAAGGATGAAAGGATGGATGAAAGGAGAGAGAGAGAGAAGGAAGGGGGGAGTAAGGAGGAAGGAAAGGGAAGGAAGGACGAAAGGGTGAAAGGGAAGGAGGAAAGAAAAAGAGAAGGAAGGAAGGGAGGAAGAGAAGGATGGAAGGAAAGGAAGGATAAAGGAAAGAGAGAAGGAAAGAAAGACAAAAGGGAAGGAAGGAAAGTGAAAGAGGGAGAGAGGGAGGAAAAAGGGAGGAAGGGTGAAAGGAGAAAGAGAGAGGGAAGGGAGGGAAGTAAGGAGGAAGGAAAGAGAAGGAGGGAAGGAAGGAAGGACGAAAAGGTGGAAGGCAAGGAGAAAGAGGGAGGGAAGGAGAAAGGAAAGAGAGTAGGAAGGAACGATAGAATGGCGAGAGAGAAGAGGGCCTGAGAAAAGAGGCTGAATCCGCCCAGGGGCCTGGGTTTGCCCATACCTGCTGTAGAATGAGTGCAGTTGGACAGCATTACAGTCGTGGAAAGATTGGTCTCTGGTTGAGATCTTCTCAAATGCCAACGCCAACCCTTCCTCAGAAAGAAGTTGTGTTCAACACGGTGGAAGAATTCTATCTTCGAGTCAGGGCCATAGCTTCCAAACCTCACTCTCTAGTGAGCAAGGGGTTGGGATTTTCAAAGTTCTCAACCCGAGAGCAATTTCGCCTTCGGTCGTGATCCTCGCATCCTCCTTTAAGACTCTTGTTTGAATGACAGCTTTCTGTGTGATCCTCCCTTGGGTTCCGACCCGTACATTTGGTTCTGCAGTCAATCCAAAGGGAGCGAGAAAGTAATCTTTCTTCGAAAGGCGACTTGAGCTGGAAGCAGCTTCGAGGGCGCTGGTGGGCAGGAGTCCCATGGAAAGGGTGCGAGCGGAGGGCTTACTCCTCACTCAATAAGATCCGGGATAGGGTCATGTTTGGGTTCAAGTCCCCCTTGGCGTAAGTGTTGAGAATCGGGTTGCTCGCGCCTTTCCGCCAGGCCAAAACCCACGGACAAAGGCCACTTTTCAGAAAACAGTCGTGAAAAAAAATATTGTTGAAATATCTGAAAGCAGGCATGTAGCGGGGGGGGGGGGGGGGGGGGTGGGGGGGGGGGGGGGGGGGGGGGGGGGGGGGGGGGGGGGGGGGCTTGAGGGGCTTCAGCCCCTCCCACCCGAAATTCTCATGGTGGTTCGCAAAAAGGCCTTACTGGTGCATTATTTAAACTGTTATGTTTATTCATATCATGATCTGATCACCATACTCAATATATCCCATATGCATGGGGGTATTGGGGTAATAATACAAAAGGTTTGCTAGGGTAGACCCTCTTTCACTCAGTGACAGCTCCCGCGCTCGATAACTCAGGCCGCCTAATCCTGAACGCGCCCCTTGACCGTCCCCTGTAATATTTTTGTTAGGGCCGCCCCTCCTCCCAAGTGGACAATTTCAACAGAAAGGAAGAAACCATGAAAATGAACAAAATCTGGCCACCGATATTTTAAAAAAACTCATAACAGTAAATAAAGAACAACACTCACAAACAGGGGAACTCCAGACAAGAAGCAATCAGAGACAGCTAATCACCTCTCAACAAAGGATTTCCCCAGGCAGTAAGAAGCCACAACTTGAAACTGCTAGGCCATTAAATGCTAATCAAGGTGGCCAATTGAAACATTCACCCTAATCAAGGTGGCCAATTGAAACATTCTCACCTACCTCCAACAGAAAAGAGTTCTTTCTCCCCCTGGGACATTCTACAGATATACAAACCCCATTTTCCTAGTTTCCAACAGACGTCACAACCTCTGAGTATGCTTGCCATAAATGCAGGCGAAACGTCAGGAGAGAATGCTTCTGGAACATGGCCACACAGCCCGGAAAAGTCACAACAACCCATGAGCTAAAAGTTCCTGAGGGCAAGAGCCTAATGGAGTCTCCTTCTCTGGAGGTTTTCTGGATGACCAGTTGTCGAGAGGGCGTGGATTGTGTCTTCCTAAATAACAGTGGGCTGAACTGGATGGCCCTTGGGGTCCCTTTCCAATTTCAGGATTCTATAATATGATTCCATGGTACAAATGGAGCTGGAGTGGATGGCCCTTGGGGTTCTCTTCCAAAAGTCGGGGGTTGTATGGTTCTTCCCGCTGCAAGAGAACCAACCATTGGTCCACAGCATGCTCTCCACATCCTAAAATGTTGCAGAGGGATTCTGCTGCATGGAATCATCCTTGGGTTCTCTTCCAGCTCTATGATCCTACATCAGACATACAGATTCTATAGCCCTGGGGCGCCCACATTTACCTTCTTTGGTGGCGGGCCCGTTGGTCAAGGCCCGGTGATGCTCCGCCCCGCTGGGCCAGGGACTCAGGAAGTCGGGGGCTGGTGGCATCTGGAGAAGGAGGAGGAGGAGGAGGGCCGGGAGAGGAAGGAAGAAGGGATAGGATGGGGGGAGAAAGATGGGGCGAAACAGGAGGGAAGAGGAAAGTGTCAGGTTTAGGGCAAGTTGGGCCCTGTGCTAGTTAAGTTAGGAGGCCCCTTCCTTGGGCCCTGAAGAAAGGAGACCCAGTGGTCCTACACTGCCTGCTTTGTGGCACACTCCCGTAGACTATCACCAACTCTGTCATTATGCCTGAATCCATCTATCTATATAAATAAAAATGTAATGTTCGTTTGTGGGATTAACATAATTCAAAAACCACTGGGTGAATTGACACCAAATTTAGATACAATACACCTATCAGGCCAACAAGTGATCATCACTCATAAAAACATGGAAAAACACAGTGGAAGAGACTTTAAAAAGCAAAAAAAATTTAAAAAGTACATTACAACACATGCGCAGAACCACATATATACACAAATATATATATATACACACAAAACACATATACACAGACTGGGCCACAGCAACCCGTGACAGGGGACGGCTAGTCCGAAATACAATGCTTTCAAATGTAGAATTGCACTACAAAAGCACAATCCATCATAACTGATGCCTCCACCCAACCAACAGGGCCTTGTGCTGAAGCACCCCTGAGCACAATGGTAAACCGCCTTGGGTCTTCAGAGAAAGGCGATATAGAAATTTCCTAAATTAATAAATACATATATTGCTGTGAGTTTACGGGGTCATATGGCCATGTCCCAGAAGCATTCTCTCTTGACGTTTCTCCCACATCTTTGGCAGGCATCCTCAGAGGTTGTGAGGTCAGTTGGAAATTAGGCAAGTGAGGTTGCTACGAATATTAAAAAAATCTCTAAAATCAGGGCAGTAAATAAAGAACAACACTCAGAAGACAGGGGAATTCCAGACTGGAACAACCAGGGCCAGCTAACACCTCCCAACAAAGGATTCCTCCAGGCAGGAATCAGCCAGGCTTTGAAGCTACAAGGCTTTACAATGCTAATCAAGGTGATTAATTGCAACATTCACACTTGCCTCCAACAGACAAGAGTTCTTTCTCCCACCCTCGACATTCCAAATATATATAAACCTCACTTGCCTTGTTCTTCATCGCACTAGAGCAGTGGTTCTCAACCTGTGGGTCCCCAGATGTTTTGGCCTTCAACTCCCAGAAATCCTAACAGCTGGTAAACGCTCTGGGATTTCTGAGAGTTGTAGGTCAAAACACCTGGGGACCCACAGGTTGAGAACCACCGCACTAGAGAATGAATCTACTTTAAATCCGGTTTCTGCCTCTTCCAGAATTCTGAGGTTTGTAGTTTAGTGGTTGTTAGAGGCTCCTCCCATTTTCTAGTGTGATGCGGCCCATAGACCTCAACAACCTCTGAGGATGCCAGCCATAGATGCGGGAGAAACGTCAGGAGAGAATGCTTCTGAAACGTGGCCACACAGCCCGGAAAACTCACAGCAACCCAGTGATTCCGGCCAGTCTGTTGAATGGAAGCTTATCTAGACACACCACATATAAGTGTATGCTGGTTATGAAGTTTGCTTCTAGTACTCTGCAATATTTCTGGTGGAATCACCCCGACTGAGGGTTATTTTGATCCTAACCGCTTAGATTCCCAACAAAAGCCTTCGACAACACAATAAATATATCAATGGGGCTGCTTTTGGGAGCGCCCCTCCCTCCCTCCCTCCCTCCGTCGAAGGGGCCAAGCGCCATCCCCTGCCTCGAGGTGAAGGGACGGGCCCGAGCCCCCCATCTCCGTGGGCCAGGGTCAGAGGCGGCGCTTACATTCCCCGCCTTGGGGCTGAAGGCGAAGGCCTGGGCGCTCCCTCCTGCAGCGGCTCCGTGGGTGAGGAGCGCCTCCTGGCTCTTGTCCTGGTGGTGCTGCTGGTGGTCGAGGCGGTGGAGGAGGTCCTGGAGGCGCTCGATGTAGCTGATGGCGCTGCGGAGGATCTCGACCTTGGGCAGGCGCTGGTTGGGGTTGGCCACGGTCCGCCGCTTGAGCGCCTCGAAGGCCTCGTTGATCTTCTTGAGGCGGCGGCGCTCTCGCAGCGTGGCGGCCTTGCGGCGGTCGGTGGGCGCGGACTTGCGCTTGCAGGTCTTGCAGGCCCAGACCAGGCACTGTCCCGGGCAGTGGGGCGCCTGCAGGCACGGCGGGGCCAGGACGTGCGCCTCCCCGGCGGGGCTGCTCCCCTCGCTGCCCCGGCCCCCTCCTCCCCCTCCCCCTCCTCCCCCGGTCTCGGCGCCCAGCGGGTCCTGGCAGGAAGAGGGCGAGAGGGTGCCCTCGCTGCCCGGGTAGAGCGGAGAGCCCTCCTCGGCCACGTCCAGCTGCTGCAAGGCGCCATTCTCCCCGTCCAAGTAGAAGAAATAGGAGCCGGTTTCGAAAAGGTCCATCATCATGCTGCGCCTGGGCGGAGGGGGGCGAGCGGCTCCCCAAAGAAGCCCCAAAGAAGGAGAGGAGAGCAGAAGAGCCTCCCGATGGGGAACGAGCGGTTCCCCAAAAGGGAGAAAGGGAAAGAGTCGGGCAGAGAAGAAGCAGAAGAGCCGCCCGACGGAATTTAATTAGCGCGGTGACATAAGGGGGCCCGGCCCGCTTTATATATAGTAGCCGCTGAAACTCTATCCCGCTCTGGAGCTGTCGCCACGCCGCATCCCCCTCTCCAGCCAGCCAGGCACCCTTCGGCCTGGGCTCCACGCACTCCCAAGCCCATCATCCCCCGGGCAGGGAACGCACAGCCACACACCCCACATTCCCAATGAGGAAACAAACCCCCAGCTCGCTTTGCCCACTTTCCAAACTAGAGTCCCCCTTCAGAAAGACCCACACTCGTCCAAGTTGCTTTTTGGAAGCTCAGGCTCCACAACCTGCCACCCCCCTGCCACCCAAAAAGCCCCTTTGCTCAATTTTGCAAGCTGTTTGCATGTGTCTGGATCAGAGCTAGAGACACACACACACAGAGAAAGTTGACACCAGGCCAAAGCGTCCAGGCTTAACTTAAAAATCCTTTGCTCTGAGCTAAGTATAGAACTCCAAGAAGGCCCAGGACAGACATATAATGGTTATTCTTGCAAATGCGTTGTGTTTCAGAATTTGAAAACATGACTTCCTTGGGCATATCTTCACTGAAGATTTTAATGCACTTCCAAAACTATCTTCACTGAACATTTCATGCACTTCCTGTCACAATGAAGATGAATGTAGACACTCACAAATGGTTTCACTGTGCAGAGGAAGACACAGGAAACACTGGAACCCATTTGAGGCCTTTTGCCTTTGTCTCTGAACTCCAAACTCCTTCCAGCAAACTCCTCCAACTCCTCCAAACGCACCTCTGCAACAATCCAGCTCCAGCAACCACCTCCAACAACCTACTCCAGTGACCCACCTCCAGCAACCCACACAAATTTATTTATTAATTACATATACTTCTATCCCGCCCTTCTCCCCACAAGGGGACTCAGGGCAGTCTTACATAAGCATACCAATAAATACAATTAAAACACTAAAATCCATTTAAAACATTATCCAGTTTCCACAGTAAATTCATCAACAATAAATAAAGTGGCGTGCCAATACACCAAGACCAAGACCAATATCTGGGATGTTGTTCCTTTCATATTACTGTTCCCCTCTAGTCAAATGCCTGGTTCCAGAGCCAGGACAGGAGGGAGATGGTCAACCTGATGTCCTTAGGGAGGGAGTTCCACAGATGGGGGCCACTGCCGAGAAGGCCCTTTCTCTCATCCCCACCAACCTCGTTTGCGGGAGTGGTGGGATTGAGAGCAGGGCTTCTCCTGATGATCTTAAGCTTCATGATGGTTCATAGCAGGAGATACGTTCAGACAGGTAATCTGGAGTTGTACTTTGGTTCCTTTATTCCCCCTGCAGCTGCCCCACCCTGGCTGTAACTACACAATGCTGGCCAGGTGGTTTGGCTCATCCCCTGCTGCATTGTTCCTTACACCACTTACTACTTGCTACTTAAGAAATGATCTCTAACACTTCCAACACAGTTCGGAAGAAAATGGTTTCACTGTGCAGAGGAAGACACAGGAAACACTGGAACCCATTTGAGGCCTGGATGGTGATGACAACAACCACTGAGCATTAATTCATGAGAGCTTGTTGTTTGGCCATCACAGGTTGAACTGCATCCAATGGTCAGTGTAGATGAGGCCTTTGTGTCCCAAATCCATACAAAGTTAGGCCTAAAACTGCTAAAGCAGTGATTCCCAACCTTTGGGCCTCCAGGTGTTTTGGACCTCAACTCCCAGAAATCCCAGCCAACTTATCAGCTGTTAGGAATTGTGGGAGCTGAAGTTCAAAACACCTGGAGGCCCAAAGGGTGGGAACCACTGCACTAGAGGAAAAGAGATCAATTTTTCCAGGGCTGGCCTTACCACGAGGCACTCACTTTTGGTGAAAGAAAATAGAGGTGCACAGCAGTGACAAACTGTGTTTACTGCACAGTCTATCCTGTAAACCTACCTGTGGCCCTCATGTACAAAGCAGAATAATATCATTTCATCATCTTTAAAATCAAGTAGAACCCCTGAATCTGTGGGAGAATATGCTTCTAGACTTTGTGTGGATACAGAAAACTGTGAACCCTATTGAAGTTCAGGACTTCTGGCCATAGTCGTACTAGAGAGGACATACTTTATGAATGTAGATAAATGAAACTACAAATACCAGTTTTGTGGATATAGATGTTGTACTGCAAATACAACTGTTTTTATATTTTACATAGGTGTGTGCGTTTTACCATTTGCCCAGACACCTTGCTGATGAATGAGGGGTGCTACTTGTAGCAGAGAAGGTGGTGAGACTATACAGAAGATCTGTATAGGAAGGATAATAATATTGAGGATAGTTTTGACTGCATGGTGAGTGAACTAGAACCAGACATCCTGAGGAGTGAGATTGAATTGGGCCATAAGAAGCATTGCTAATAACAAGGCAGCAGGAGATGACGGGATCCCAGCTGAACAGTTAAAAGTCTTGAAAGAGGATGCTGCCAAGGTTATGCAAGCCATATGCCAGCCAAAATGGAAAACCCAAGAATGGCTATCAGATTGGAAAAAATCAACTTATATCCCCATATCAAAAAAGGAAAACGCTAAAGAATGCTCAAACTTTCATACAGTGTCACTTATTTCTCATGCCAGTAAAATAATGCTCAAGCTTCTGCAAGGTATACTCCAGCAATACATGGAAAGAGAGTTACTAGATGTACAAGCTGGGTTGAGAAAAGGCAGAGGAACAAGAGAGCAAATTGCCAACACCCGCTGGATAATGGAGGAAGACAGAAAAACATCTGTCCCTGTTTTATTAACTATTCTAAAGCGTTTGACTGTGTGGATCATAACAAATTGTGGCAAGTTCTTGGTGGTATGAGATACCAAGTCACCTTGTCTATCTCCTGAGGAATCTGTATAACAACCAAGTAACAACAGTAAGAAGAACAGAAAACGGAACAATGACTGGTTCAAGATTGGGAAAGGACTACAGCAGGGCTGTATACACTCACCCGACCTATTCAACTTGTATACAGAACACATCATGTGATGTGCAGGGCTTGATGAATCCAAGGCTGGAGTTAAAATTGCTGGAAGAAACATTATCAACCTTAGATATACAGATGATACCACTTTGATGGCTGAAAGTGAGGAGGAGCTGAGAAGCCTTCTAACCAAGGTGAAAGAAGAAAGTACAAAAGCTGGGTTGCAGTTAAACATAAAAAAACCCAAGATTATGGTAACCAGACTGAATGATAACTGGCAAACAGAGGGAGAAAACACAGAGGAAGTGACAGAGTTTGTATTTCTAGGTGCAAAGATTACTGCAGATGCAGACTGCAGCCAGGAAATCAGAAGACATTTACTTCTTGGGAGGAGAGCAATGATCAATCTCAATAAAATAGTGAAGAGTAGAAACATCACACAGGCAATGAAGATCCACATAGTAAAAGCAATGGTATTCCCCATAGTAACCTATGGATGTGAGAGCTGGAGGATAAGGAAGGCTGAGTGAAGGAGGAAGGAAGGAAGATAGATGCTTTTGAACTGTGGTGCTGGGGGAAAATTCTGAGTGTGCCTTGGAACGCAAGAAGATCAAAACGGTCCATACTCCAGGAAGTAATGCCCGACTGCTCACTGGAGGGAAGGATATTAGAGGCAAAGATGAAGTACTTTGACCACATCATGAGAAGACAGGAAAGCTTGGAGAAAAAGGAAGGAAAAAGGAGAAGACGGGAAAGCTGGGGAAAAAGGAAGGAAAAAGGAAGAGGGGCAAACCAAGGGCAAGATGGATGGATGCTATCCTTGAAGTGACTGGCTTGACTCTGAAGGAGCTGGGGGTGGTGATGACCAACAGGAAGCTTTGGTGTGGACTGGTCCATGAGGTCACGAAGTCGGAAGTGAATAAACAAATAAACAACAACAACAACTTGTACCAGTAAGGGGAATAATGAATCACTTCACAAGTCATAACTAGACTGTTTTTCTGGCAATTCCAAATGGTAGTGAGCTTCCAAGCTGATTCCTGAGGCCACACCGGTGTGCAACTACTATGCAGTGAGTAGTGCTGAGTACTCCCTTTGGGATGTTTTGCAGTTGTTTTGTTTACAAGCTGCTGACCGGCATGTTGATTGGTCAGCAGCTTGTAAACAAAGCCCTGCTTCACACATACGTTCCTATCAGTTCACAAGGCTATACTTTATCAGGGTTGCGAAACTCTTTTTGCATGGCAGAGCAGAGCTTGGGAACATTCTTTGCCTGGAGTATACTGTTGCAGACATAAGGCGAACCTATCATGTGGTTTTCTGTGCAAAACTTATTCACAGGGGGTTTGCCAATGCCTTGAATTAAGTAGAACATTTGTGACAGATTTTGCATATCAAGGAGACTTAATGGTTAGCTGCTTAATTTACTGTTACATTATTTGTCTTACTGCTAGGAATGAGTGGAAGTGCTTATAGGATTTTATGGCTCATTTGCCAAAATAACTTACATTTTGACTAAAGCGGTTAGGTACTGTAACATTTGCTATGTGACCCGCCTCGACCCACGAGGAGAGGCGGATAAGAAATAAGATGATGATGATGATGGTTTGTTGCTTTGCTTCAAGCAGCAAAAAATCTTAGGGATACCAAATAATGTCATTTGAAAACATGCCCATTTCTAGTTCTGCCTTGGTTGCTGCCCAGTCAATAAGATCTAGTTTAGCTTTTCTCTCCATCGCCAGCACAGATTACAGTAAGGTGAGTGCTATTCAAAAGCCAAGGATCATAATCATTACACCAGTTAGCTCTCAGCTAACTGGGCTGTGGTGCAGTTAGCTGAGAGCTAGCTGCATTATATCACTACTGCCAGTTAGACATGCAACACATATAAACAGACACAGAGAGGTCATGAGTTCAAAGCCAGCCCAGGTCGGAGCGGGCTTCTGGCCATTCGTCTAGCTTGCTGTCGACCTGTGCAGCCCAAAAGATAGTTGCATCTGTTAAGTAGGAAATTTAGGTACTGCTTTATGTGGGGAGGCTAATTTACGACACCATAAAACCTTCCAGCAGTGTGCAGAAGTTGCTTCTGGTGTGAGAGAATTGGCCATCTGCAAGGACATTGCCCAGGGGACACCCGAATTTTTTTATGTGTTACCATCTTTGTGGGAGGCTTCTCTCATGTCTCTGCATGAGGAGCTGGAGCTGATAGAGGGAGCTCATCTGTGCTTTCCCTGGATTTGAACCTGCAACCTGTTGGTCTTCAGTCCTGCTAGCACAGGGGTTCAACCCAGTGCACCACTGGGGGCTCCTAGAATGATGATATGCTAAAGTGTATTCATTCTACAGTTCGAAAATCAATCTGGATGACTGTAATCTGTTTTATCTTCTTCATGGCAAGGTGGTAGTAGAGGTCTTTTACAAATCTCCTTTGCTG